AATCGAGCATAGTTGACTATGGCACTTAGAATCCGTCGAATTCGTTGAGGCTCAGGTCTCATTATGTCCATCAAAGTAAAGTCATTGATCCCACAAGTATGGAGAAACTCCGTGGCTCCTCTGTGAAGCAGTATTAGTGCCAAAGTACTGGCAGCGTCATCGGGATCGTTGTTTTCGTCATCTTCTTCTTGAGTGGAACCATTCGCTGGAGACTTATTTGCAGCTCTATCTTCTCTTATTACATTTTTGACTCCTTTCTGGATATTTTCCGACGAGATACACATGAAAGTATCCAATATCTGCTCGAGAAGTGTCCTTATATATTGGCTTGTGGGCCGAGAAACCAATTCCTCACTCGCAGTGAAATCACAACTCTGCAAGCAAATGGATATTTCACGAAAATCAAGCAAGTTGAAGGGATCATGCGGTGCTAGGTAAAGGCTACGTCTGGCCTGGAACGTCCCTCCCCTATATATGGAGCTTGGTCGTGACATTGATGTGAGATTGGGACGTGGGTATTATGCGAGGTGATACTTTGTTTATTTTGTGCGCGAATCGAACCCGCGGCTGCAATTATGTAGGACGTGATAGAGATAGTAAGATGAGCAGATGTGTGTTTGAGGACACCAGGCAACTGAGATCAAGTCTAGCGCTTACATGTAGCAACCTTGGTCTAGCACTTTGGTCTCGCACTTAGGTCCTGCAACTTAAGTAACCATTCCTTACTTTTTATACATTTGGAACAGTGCGGATGTAAACCCTCCACGACCATGGCAGATTTATACCCTTTCGGCGGTCCAGATGGCTCCTCTGCAAACCAATTTGATCACCTCGGTCAACAAAAGGTACGGAACAGCCTTTTCGGCATCATGTTCAATGGCCGTGTCCAAATGCTCAAGTTCGTCGTCTCTAAACTGGCTAATCAAGCTTTTAAGTTCTCTTAATTCAGACGAAGTCGCTACATCTCGCGGCAAGTCTGCCTCCTTAAGCTTTTCTCCCGTTTCCTTGTCATAGACGGGTACATCATTAAACTGGTTCATCAAAACTCGTAATTGTTGGTTGTAATGTCCTCCAATTACCGTTTCAACAGCCACAGTGCACGCCATTGCAGCTTCTTTACCTATGAGTGCGGTAGATACACCTATGCCAAAAGCTCCGGCTTTCCAGAGTGGAGTAAGTAATGAGGGGCGCACTCGGCGTTCGGTTTGCAACTTGTTGAATGTGTTATGGTGGTGGATTTCCTGATCCCACATATGTTGTAGGACCGGCTTCAAGTGTGGATACTTGCTTGCTAGCACGGTGTACTGGCCAAAGTAGATGTAATCTGCTCCAAGCTCGCCAGCCTGATCGACTCGTACCACTCGGTCGAGGAATGCTCTCTGGGCTCTAGAAAGAGAGCCATATTTGACGTTATCGCCATGATACTTTTTAGCAGCGGCAGCTTTCTTGTCTACGGTTTTATGAAGTGAACGAGAAGACGAGGCAAAGCCACGCCGAAGGAGCAACTTATCCATTGCCTGTGAATGGATGAGAATCTCATGATAAATCATCAGGTGCCATGCGGGTGCCATGCAGGAGCGTGGTACGTTAAGCGGGCAACGGACACTGTAGTGACCAGTTTCAAGTCAAAGAAGGGACTACTACTTCCGTTTGTAAATGTCACACTTTGCGTAAATCGCAATAAACTTGAACGCAATATTGAATGGCACTTCTTGGGTGTCTCTCGAATAAGTTATCGGTTTATTCTCGTTTAAAGGATTCCTTAGCTGCACAAAGTGTCTGTTGGGCAAAGAGTCTGTAGACACCCATGTAATAGGAAAGACTCCGCTCCACCTCGAAGTTTCATTCCAAATATTTAATTTGGATTTGAAGTTTACAGCAGCTGTCATTTCGGCAATTCCACAAAATCTTCCAGAACCATTGACCAGAAAAAACAAATAGACTTTCCCACCGTCTTCGGAGGTTGTCTTGTACGCTTTATCAAGCCGTTTGTTACCCAAATCCGTGGATGTCCAAACTCCATGTTCTACCGACGAGGCAACGTCTTTTTCGGTAAACGACTTGATGATGAAAAATCGAGAATTTGGAGGGATTCTGTCTAAACTCAAACCAGAAACACTTTTCGGTTCGACTTTTTCATGCTTTTGTGACTTTGGCAATTTTGGTGTTTTTTGTGAAATTTGTGACAGGTTCTCTGTCAATCTTTGTGACGGGTATTCGCTTCGAAAATGACATGACCAGATATTTCTCTTGGTTTCATACATGGAATGAGCCATATCCGGAAAAGGACCTAGTTTCAGTAACAAAAGCGAGTCAATTGAAAACATGTTGAACCCTCCTTTTGTAATTCAAAAGTGGTTGCAAAACCTGACTAGTGACCCCGCCCTAACACCCGCAAAGACGAGCGCACTATAAGAAGCCGCACATTCTGCGAATGCAACCACATTTCGAAACTACTTAGAGGCAAAGCATTTCTATGGCGAGACCGGAAATATACAGCAAAAAGGCTGATCCTCGTCGCACTGATCTCCGGGCAGTCAAGAAGTGGATCAATAATGAACTTCAGCGACTTTTGCCAGATGACGACATTGTCATCGACTATTTAATTGAGCTAATCGAGGATGATTCTCCCGATATCGACTATATTGATAGCCAAATGACAGAATTTTTGGGAGCGAAGGAGGGCCGTAAGTTTTGCAAACAGCTCTGGGAAAGAATGACCGGATTGGACAAGGAGAAGGATGTCTTTGAAAGTGACACAAAATCGGCGACAAACCCTAATGATGAAAAGAAGACCAACTACAATAGAAGTATAGAGAGGGAAGGAAGCCAGGAAGGAAACCAAGAAAACAAGGAAGATAACAAACATAGAAATCGGGAAAGAAAACTGGGAAATCAGGAAAGCCGAGAAAGAAATCGCGAAAAAAGTCCTACACGTTCAAGACAAAGTTTCCGAAGCCACAGACATCTGGGCAGTTCCCGGAAGAATCACGATAGAACTAGTCTGGAGCTTAAGGATTTTCGGCGACAGAACCATTGGTAGATCAAGAATCATTGGGTGTATGGATGCGGTATGGCGTGTCCCCACCGTGGTCGCCCTCTCACCCCGAGTTGTTCAGTACCTCGCCTAAAAGAACAGCATAATGTCGGAGGTTGACTCAGCTAGCCAGCCTGAGGGCCACCACCATCAACATCACCACCACCTGCATCATCATAAACACGAAAGTAAACCCAAAGAAGGCGTCAATCGTATTGGTAGATATGAAGTACTCAAGACCCTCGGAGAAGGATCATTCGGTAAAGTCAAGTTGGCGCAACATTCGGGAACCGGCCAAAAAGTGGCACTTAAGATCATAAACCGTAAAACTTTAGCCAAATCAGACATGCAGGGGCGTATCGAAAGAGAAATTCTGTACTTGCGCTTGTTACGGCACCCCCATATTATCAAATTATATGACGTGATCAAACTGAAGGATGAAATTATCATGGTTATAGAATATGCTGGTAAAGAGCTTTTCGACTACATTGTGCAGAGAGGAAAGATGCCTGAAAATGAAGCCAGGAGATTCTTCCAGCAGATTATCGCCGCAGTGGAATACTGTCATAGACACAAGATTGTTCATCGTGATTTAAAGCCAGAAAATCTTTTGTTAGATGACCAACTCAATGTCAAGATTGCCGACTTTGGCTTGTCAAACATCATGACTGACGGAAATTTCTTAAAAACTTCGTGCGGTTCTCCCAACTATGCGGCACCTGAGGTTATTTCCGGTAAATTATACGCTGGTCCAGAAGTCGATGTCTGGTCGTCTGGAGTCATATTGTACGTGATGTTATGTGGTAGACTCCCATTCGATGACGAGTTTATCCCGGCGCTTTTCAAAAAAATTTCCAACGGTGTTTACACCCTTCCTAATTACCTCTCCCCTGGAGCAAAACACTTGTTGACAAGAATGCTTGTTGTCAATCCATTAAATCGTATTACAATCCATCAGATAATGGAGGACCCTTGGTTCCGTCACGATGTGGAGGCTTACATTTTACCACCAGATGTTCTGCACGCTAAGATTGATGTTAATGATGACGTTGTAGCAGCGTTATCTGCAACCATGGGTTACGATCGCGATGAAATATTATCAGTAATTCAAAGAGCAAACGAGTCTGGTACACAACCTAGCTCAGAGATTCTTGATGCCTATCTTTTGATGAAGGAAAATCACTCATTGGTAAAAGATATTAAGAAAACAAAGGGTGATCAAATGGACAACTTTTTGTCTCTGAGTCCACCTAAGGCTATGTTGAACTCGGCCACGCACCGTGCTCCGGGAGTACAACTGTCGCTCACTTACCAGACGCTTGCAACTGTTCCAGATCTTTCAACGCTTCCCAACTCGACGATCGCAATTCTACCCTCGTCGCTTCCATCCATGCATCGTGCTTTCATGATGGACAAGACTAATCCCGATGCAAAAATAGCTCCCGTCTCGAATAAGAAACTGAAAACTAGATGGCATTTTGGAATTCGGTCTCGTTCATATCCCCTTGACGTTATGGGGGAGATTTATAGGGCTTTAAAGAATTTGGGTGCCGAGTGGGCGAAACCTACAGAAGAAGAATTATGGACGATACGAGTGCGCTGGAAGTACCCACCATCTGAGGGAGCATCGAGTGTCATCCCAGATATGATGAAGATGCAAATTCAATTGTTCCAGTTGGAACCAAACAATTATCTAGTTGACTTTCGTTTCGACGGATGGGAGAGTGGACTACAGGATAGTGGAGATGATGGACTTTCTCGGCAAGATGTGGATGAGATGTGCTCTTTTTCAGCATATCCGTTCTTGCACCTTGCGACCAGGTTGATTATGGAATTAGCCGTTAATAGTCAAAGTGCATAATAAGACGAGACTAGACTATCGGTAGTAGTAATTGCTAGTAGCAAATAGGCATAGAACCCGAGAAGCAAAGATCCAAGCAGCAGAGAAAAGGTGCAAAAAAATGGGGCGAGCTGGGAATTGAACCCAGGGCCTCTCACAAGTTCTTTCGTAGAAATACCCAAAGCGAGAATCATACCACTAGACCACACGCCCATTAACTGTGAATTTGAGACGCGGAGCGAATACGATTCTGACAGGCCACAACATTAGAAGATAATAACAACCTGACACCAGCTTGCGCAGTATCCTGCCTATGTTTAAAGCCCTTTTCGATTACGTCACCTTTGACAAAAAAAATCATTTTTCCTATTTGAGGCATGTGTAAACAGGCCCTAGCTACATAGAAATCGTGTCTTCAGATTGGCGCCCTTTCGCAAACAGTTTTTTTTTTGGCAGCGATTCCTTCTATATACGGACGACGTTTCGAAGATTCACAATTAAAGCATACTAGAAACTTTACTGGTGAGATCTCAGAGTCACGCACCCTACTTGCGATATCCTTGCACCCATAATAGCCAAAAGCAGGCATATAATAGTCTCAATCTTTGCGAACTTCATCGTTGGTTCCATATACCATGAAGACCATAGATCTAGCGGAGAACGATCCGCTGACCCATATCAAGTTCGCTGAGCTAGCCAAGATCATATTCAAGGCCCGCAAATCAGCCGTGATCACTGGAGCCGGTATTTCATGCAATGCGGGGATTCCCGATTTTCGTTCTTCAGAAGGATTGTACAATTTAGTCAAAGAAAAACACCCCACGGCGGTAGTTAAGGGTCAGGATCTATTCGACATCTCTTTGTTTCGAAGTGAGATTTCCTTGGCGGTTTTCTGTACATTTATGGAATCGTTATACCTGTCTACACTTAGGGCTACTCCCACCGAGACACATAAATTCATCAAAATTCTTAAAGAGAAAAAGAAGTTGTTGCGTTGTTACACTCAGAACATTGACGGATTGGAAAGAAATATCGAGCTCAAAACAGGAGTCCGTTCCGACCAATTTGAGTCGGGAAAAACGTTTCTTCAATCATGGAAATCGCTCGATGTGGTCCAGCTTCATGGCGATCTACACCACCTTTCTTGCACCCACTGCTTCCATACTACCCAGTGGACGCCGAAGCACAAACTCCAGCTTTCCCAGGGCGAAAATCCTGAGTGCCAAAATTGTTTCATGAAGTATCAAGAGCGACTTTATCTGGGCAAAAGATTGACGGGAAATATCGGCCTTCTCCGTCCAGCGATTGTGCTTTACGGTGAGAACCATCCGCAGGCGGAAATACTAGCACAGGGACTTAATTGTGATGTCAGAGCGAAGCCAGATATGCTTATAATCATGGGTACATCATTGCGAGTCGATGGTGTCAAAAAGCTCGTCAAAACATTGGCTAGCGCTGTCCATGATAAAGGAGGAAAGGTGGTGTTTGTGAACAAAACACCGCTAGCAAAAACTACATGGGAGAACATTATAGACTATGAAGTTCTTTGCGACTGTGATGATTTTGTTGCGCAATTAAAGTATGAGATTCCTGATTTGTTCCTCACTCAAGAACAGCTAGACTCCAAGAGACTCAAAAACAAGAGGGTTAAGAGAGTGAAGAAGGAATCTGACAGTGAGGAAAAAGAAGCTTCAAAAGAAGTAAAGAAAGAGATCAACAACGAAAACTTACCAAAGGAATTCGTCGGTTCCTTGCTGGTCGGTTTGACACCACCTACGACTCCCCACAAAAAGGGACCAGCTTTGAAGCGCAAGAGTCTGTCTGAGAAGCTAGTATCCAACAAACCCAAACTCAACTTTGAGTTGCCTACACCACTTTCAAGTTTTTCAGAAGCCGACGCTGAAAACTTCAATGCGCTCAAAATCAAAAAAGAAGAACGCGACTGCGAGCCGCTTCTGCTGGTGTGTATCAACATAGAAAGGAACTCGAAGCGACTGTTCCAGGAGGTAGATATGTACTAATCGAATCGACCCACCATCACTTGTAGGCCGCGCCGTATGCAGGAGATAACCCATGTGCAGGTCAAATTGTGTCTCACGTTTACAGCAGCAACTCTTGTCATTGCAAATGGATCTGGTTGCTCACTTATGTGAGTCTGTGTTTTCTGGCGACACTCAGCCGCAATCCAAGAGTATGGAAAAGACAGAAAATGAACCTGATGGCTCGCAAAAGAAACCCAATACGGATTTCCAGTCGTTCTGGAACTACTATTATGCCAAGAGCGAACCCGAATCTCACCATTCAGATGAAGTTGAGGGCTCCCACGAAGGTACAGAGACGCTGAAGTCGGCTGGAACGAGCGCTGCCAACAATTCTCTTTTATCTGACAAATTGATGGAGAAGGTCATCCAAATGATGATACCCATGAATGTTGAATCATCGGAAATAATATCGCAACGATTAGCAGTTCAAAGTACTCGACCATCGCTCTCCATCAATTCAATGTCAACTAATTCCACCCTCTTGGCGCTGCGTCTTTCCTACACATTTCAATGCATCGATGCTATCACCATCTACTTCAGCTGGAGAGAACCAAGCTACACATTAGCAATCTTACTTGTCATCACTCACGCTGTGCTTAGGCCAGAACTACTTTTGGCATTCCCATGCTTGTATTTAATCACGAATGTGCTTATACCTCACTACTTGATACGTCATCCGCCAGATAACTCACTCAAGGAGCTTCTCGGAAGGAGCCCCATTCCTGCTGATGGGGAGCCATTGCGCTCGTATTCCATACCCAAACCGGTGCCGCAATTTTCTCAAGAATTCTTACTCAACTTGACAGACTTACAAAACCATCAACTTGATTTTGTTGCTGTATACGATTTCATCGTATGGCTCACAAAAGACTACCTTTACTTCAAGGATGAAGCTGTCAGCAGTCTAGTATTCATTCTTTTGTTGAGTTTTTCTTTTTACAATGCGGTTGTTTTGCCCAAAGTGATATGTCTTGTGTGGAAATACCTTCCAATAAAGTTCTTTTTGATCGTCTTTGTCTGGCTCTCAACCTTGGCATTTCACCCGGTGGTGAAGAATTATCTTTTAAATCTCATATTTGACGAGCGAACCAGAATAGCAGTGGTGAGCAACAACAATCGAATAGAGACCTATTTGATTCGAGTGCTTTTCCACAAGGAAACTCCCACACAAGAAACGAAAGAGGCAGAGATTTTTGAATTGCAAAAATTACTGGCCAAAACCAGTATATGGGAACCCGTGGGGTTTACGAACGAGGTATTTACCATCAACAATCCGACTCGTAGAACTACTAGTCACTTGTTGAGCACATTGGTGGAAGGTTTTAATGAATTCGAAGATAAAAATAACGACGACGACGAAAGCGAAAACGAAGATTTGGACAGCGATAGTGATGGCGAGGTAGCGGTAATGTCCCACATTAACAATTGCTCCAATCTCGATGAAATCGACCCCCCACTTGGCTGGAAATTCGACTCGAAATGGGTGGTCGATTTGCATCCCACGGAGTGGGTAAGCAATCGTATGATTGACGATGTTGTTAGCGTCGATACTGACGAAAAATGGGTTTATGATGCACCCATAGACCTGAACAGTATGTATCGAAGACGGCGGTGGGTGAGAATGTGTAGACGGGAGACAAGGAGATAAGTATATGAGATACGAATGCATTATTATGGCTATGGGCCTCAGTCTGGTGAATTTTTGTCACCTTGATAGTTTGTCTTTCGTCCTCCTTACTTCATAAACTTCATTAAATCGAGCGATGGTTTATTTGTCTCCAGTTTCTTTTGGGCCAACATAGTCGACAAAGTTGTCTTTCTTTTCTTTGCCCGCTGTCGAGACTTGGATTTGACTGGTTCCGCTGGTTCTTTAGTCACCTTGGTGGGCACTTCCAAATCAAAGCGATGTCTCAGATTACAGCCTGAACAGGTATACACTAGTTTGTTCGCAGATACTCCGTCTTTTCGCTTGTAATCTACTCGTATCTTGACATTGACTCCAGGGATGTATTTAAGACCACATTTCAAGCAAAAGCGCTGGCTTTCGAATTCATTGGGAAGCACAATCTCATGGTCTGCAACATGGTTCAGAAAAAGATAGGTGTATCGTCGGTTCAAAGGAGATGAGGCTGTAGCATGCGATAGATTGAGAAAGTGTAGAGCAGAGGTGCTTACGGTTTGATTTCCGCTCATCGTCAAAGTTATTTTGCAGCCAATAAATGCATGTATAATCGCTCGCGATGATTTGATTCACTTCAATTTGCGGATCCTGTGCACAACGTGGTTCGCACCGACACTTCGCTTGACCTATCGTCCGCGCACCATTCGCGCCCGCACTCCGTAGCGTGGTCCGATGGTCGGCTTGTGTGTGGCCAATAAGCGCGCGAAAATTATTAAGCTTACTACAATCGGGTCCGATAAGAGTGGGGAGGTGTTTTAAGGTTGAACCACCATTTTTGAAACTTGTTGATTTTACGTGTGTGACTGTGTGCAGCGTGACCAAACACCAACAAAATCAATTCGGAGCCTCCTAACAACCTCTAAATCCTTCAAGAACCTACTTTGAAAATCTGCTAAATCTTAATCATGGCCATCATGCTAGCACCCAGAAAAAAGCTTAGGCTCATGCCTTTGTCCCATAATTCGCAAGGACGAGTCCTCAAGACCTGCTCTCGATGCAGACAACATAAAACTCGTTGCGATGCCATTTTAACCCATCCAGGACCCTGTTCCCATTGCGCCAAAAAGAACGCTTTTTGCACCCTTGAAGTGATCACCAAGAAGCCCGATCGCGGCAATGACATGGTAGAGAGCCTCAGCGAGGAAGTAAACGAAATAAAGAAGTCTTTGAGTGCTATGACTGACCGCAAACAAAAGTTGATCCAAGCCTTATCTCAGCGCAAAAACGACGGTCCCTCAGTAGCGGCTATGCAACAGGTTCTCGTCCCTGAAACCTCCAGTCGTCCGATATTGTCCGCTGGCGGACTCTCTGCTGATTCTGACTTCATATTGTCTTCTGACTCTTCTCGTGAACCATTTAGCATCAGCCTCACCGAAGCTCAATTTCATTTCACAGACTTTGAGAACAACTTCCTTCAATTTCTTCCCATATTTCCAGCATCATTTTTCAAGAAGGATATCATGACTGTGTACAACGAAAACGACCTTTTG